GGCCCGTATGACGAATTTTCAGGTTTTCGACTGTGATATTCAAAAAGGTGTAAACGTCGAAAACGTCATACACCTGTATAAAATGTGGTAAACGTCATTTATTTCAATATTATCACCACATATACAGTTATTTTCAAGAACATATAATATTTTTTCTGTATATATGGGTATTCTTTACTAGATCTGATAAAAAAAAATTCTGAACTTGTGCAAAGTGGTAGGCAACAAAAAGGTATCAACAAGGTTTCAACAAAAAGTCGTCTATTTGAAATTTTTTATTATTAATCTCATGGCCACTCTATACAGCAATAACCAGCACGTGGATTTTTATTAAATTATCATCTATTTTTGTTATTTCGGCAGATTTTTTAGCGTTTTTTTCATTTTTTCAGCTAAAAATGTCATCTTGTCATTCATTGTTTGAGCGCTTGAATTCATCATAAGCTTCGACGACGTTCAAACTTGTATCTACAAAAAAAAGCTAATAAAAACCCCTTTCAAAAATCCCTTTTACCCGATTACTTGAAACTGCACAACACAATCACTATTTGTAAAAACAAAGAATATTAATAAAATAAACAAAAACAAAATATTATTGTAATGAAGAATATTATTAACAGAAACAAAAATTTCAACAATAATATACGGAAAAGAAAAGCACAAATAATTGGAAAAACTAACATGAAAAACAAGAAAACACAACAACAGCATCAGTCGCGAGATCATTGCGACTGTTAGCTAATTTAACTGCTACAACACTTGTATTAAACAATGCATGGCTTCTAAAAGGCACAAAAGGGCATCGCAAAATTTTGCAATATAACAATATATTTATGTCATCTTTAATATAAATTTAAAATATAGAAATATTAATTTTTTTTGGCATTGTCAATATAAATAACTACATCTAAATCGCTTCCAAACAGAATTTGCTACTCAAATGTTAACGAAGTATTCGCACAATAACCTGAACTTCATGGTTCCATTGAAAAATGTTTAACTTTTACAATACTTTTTAAAATAAATAAAATTTGCAACGGAACGTTTTCACTTTTTTCAGCATTTTTTGGCACTAAAATTTATATGAAGTTTGACTTTGAAGTTTCACTACAAAAACACCATACCACTTTTTACATTTATTTTAACGACAAGTGATGTACTAATTTTATATACTGTAAAAGCGTGCATAAAATTTTAACGATACTTAAAATTTTATTTTTTAATTAATCTAAGTAAACAGGCTATTCTAACCCACTGTGTGACGCTAGAAAAAGGCGCGTGGAATGCACGTGTGTTGTTATTGCAAAATGACGAGGCAAATTCTGTAAATTAACCAAACGAATAAAAGGTGGATAAGAGGTTTGGATGTTGTTACTACAAATTATCACAATAACATATAGGCGGATGTCTTCAATTCGGCTCCATGCAACCAATTGTTTAGGCGAGGGGCTGTTTTACTCCTTGCCGTGGTTGTGTGTGGATGGGGTTGATCAATGTAATTAACTCTTGACAGCGGGGTGAAGCGGCAACCAGAGAACTCCCAAGCAGTTATAGTGTATGGAATAGAAAAGAAATAACAAAGAAAATAAAACACAAGAGTTGTTAATATAATATTCTAAATATCTTGGCTTTATTGGTGGTATTCTTTTCTTTATTTCAATAAATAAATTACCTCTCGTAATTTATGGCGGCGCGCCGCGGCTCTAAGACCTGTTAAAAATAACGCGTAGACGTTATGTGACTACTTAACTCTATGGTCGATCAGTGAACTCTAAGGAGGTTGGTCGACAAGTGAACGCTGTGGTTCATGCAATGCATGTACAGAGGATTTCGGTGATCCTCAGCAATCGGTTGTCGTTTACTGCTACATTTACATATTCCAATAGGAGAAAATGCCAAGCAAGGAGAGCAGAACAACAACCACCGAGCAGTGGAATCTGCATTCTACAGTCTCCGCTGAGGGAACCTGCCGAGGATATGCCCGTGGTGTCAAGTAGTAGACGTGATTGACACCGCTCGGGAAGTTGAGTCAGGAGGTAACAAACTTATAAAACTGCCTTGCTAGAATCTATGAAGATTCGGTATTGGGGAGAATTTTATTGGAAATGGGGAAAACATATATGGGACAAACGAGCTATTGATATCAGGCGCTAAGAAACATCCGAATACATCATTGCGATACCAATAGGCTGCAGTGCACAAGACACATTTGAATATTTTTTATAAACATATATGGCTTTATTACTATGGTTTTGATTTTTGATAGTTTAATGCACCATGTATCATTTGCATACAAACTTCATTAGTATAAATGGTCATATTTGAGCTCTCGATCAATGTAGGTCAACAACTAAAACCAACAACTCGCATATAAACATCACGAGAGGCACAATATCATTTATTTTTGAGAATGAAAATAGGTGATAGGTGATTCTCTGCTTAATACTCATTCAATCATTTTTTCTACAAATGGAAATAATAATAATGTAAATAAAAAAACATTTTGTGTGTAAACACAAACCTACACACGCCCATCATACTCAATACTGTGAAATAAAAATTATATATACATGTGGTTAGGAAAGGTGAAATAATGTGTAACTACAATCTCTGTGAATTCCTCTGACTTAAACATTTTATGGCATAAAGGGAATAAAACAACAAACAAAAAATTCGGGCAGACACTTGCTCATTGTAAACAAAACAAGTCAAAACACACCGCTCTTTATATAAGGAAGAAAAAGGGTATCACATTACACTGTTTGTTATTAGAAGAAAAATAACATTAAAATACATCAATTGATGGTGTTAGTAATCAAAATCACGATCACTACTTGTTAGCTGCAATCTTTGTGAGGATGATTATGACAAGAGGCAGGTTATTCACTGGAATAAATTGAAGGTCAACAACATAAACATCTTAGTTTTGGGGGCAAAAATTATGGTAGATGTTTTTCATTTTAAGAAGCAAAAGAACATTTAAATACACTCATTCTTTATATTAGGAAGCAAGGATCATAGAAATTCTGCAAAAAATGTCAAATTTCAGTTTTGAATTTGGAAAATGACGCCAATTTTTTTCCTTGTATATATTAATGTTGGGAAAATCGCAATTTTGTGAACATAATTCTATTATAATGAAACTGTTGCTCTTTTATTCATAGTTTGCCCTCAAATGTGCTGGTACGAGTACTTCCATATCTTTAAGGCAATCATATGGGTAGACACATTTTCCGTAGTTCAAAATATTTAATACATTAAATTATAAATTTTCGTGCATCATGAACTCCCAACCCAAGTTGTTATGTAAGGCGAAGTTTTTCGATCATTTTGCATGTCATAATTGGTCGGAATAATGTGCCCCTCGTCTAATATTGCAGAGTTTAATGCTTTATTATTATCTACCGTAACTGACAAAATACTATATTTTGTAACATTTAACACTTCACGTGTAATTTATGTTTTGAGTTTCTTATATCGATTATCATCCATCTACGAACTGGAGATGAATTTAAGTACAATTTATAGTATACCACTAATTTCCAAAACCATAAAATTTTTGTATTTTGGACAATTCGTCAATTATTTGCTAATTTCACTCAGCGTTAGGACATTTGGTCTTTATTTATAATTTAAATTCGTATTGTAAATTAGCCAGTTTTATTGAAATAGTAAAAAAATGTGTGTTTTTAGTATAATAGTTAGTACTAAATTAAAAAATTCCGCTCATTATAGTCAAAGCTGCATACCAAATTTCAGAGTTCTGCTTCCAGACGTTGTCCGCTCGCGATCTCTGTTAAAACCAAGAAACAACAAGTGAAAAGCGTTAAGCCGGGCCGAACTTGGCATACCCTACACCATAGATATACTGACAGGTATTCGAAATAAAAATATAGGGAACATACCAAAAAGTGTACCTATACCGACATTTCTACAAAGCGATTATGGTTCTTAATATTGGTCCTAGACACCTTGTTTCTTTGGACCAAACTTGTTTCAAAAATTTTTGACTTCATCCACATTTACCCATCTTATTATTTCTTCCAAACCTGTTCATATTCGAACATGGGGAATATCGGTCCATATATATATATATAAGGTTAATTATCGACCTTATGTTCTGGGGACGACCGAATATTAATCATTTTTGGTAGGGAGATTTGTTAACATATACGACTACAAAATACCAAATTTCAGCAAATTCCAGAAAAAAAGTGACCTATATTTATAATTTTTAGTAGGGAGATTTGCTAACCAATAAGAACTCAATGTACCAAATTTTAGCGAATTCAGTTGAAAAACACGCCCAAGGACCCCAAAATACCGAATATTGGGGGTACCATTATACGGGAGCTATGCCTAAACGTGGACCGATAAATCCCATCTTCGAACTTGACCTGCCGGCAGGCAAAAGACAACCCTATAATATTTCAGCACCCTATCTCAATTCCTTCAGAAGATAGCGTGATTACAACAGACGGACGGACTGACATGGGTAGATCGTCTTAGAATTTTACCCTGATCAAGAATATATATACTTTATAAGGTCGGAAACGAATATTTCGATGTGTTACAAACGGAATGACAAAATTAATATACCCTCCATACTATGGTGGAGGGTATAAAAAGATCATAAAAAAGTAAACACACATCGAATGAATGTTTGTAACAAAAATTTTGTGGAATATATATATATATATATAAATGACAAAATTTAATAAAAACTCCACCATATGGTAGATGGCATAATGCGACGTCTACACATAATTTCGATAGAAAGCAACTTTCGCTTTAGATCTTTATCATGAATATCTCATTTTGTGATGTATTTATACTTGCAAATGATAAGATTTAATATTTTTTCCGTTTTGAAAAAGAATAAATTGATTTAAAAAATCGTATGATATAAAGAGCCAAAAAATCATAACCTTATTAGCCATTCATACAAGAGGAACATATATTCACAACTTATTTAACATTTTCATTTGTTTATATTTTAGTTCGAATGCGATTTCAGTCGTGAAAATTCTAAGAGTCCTACGTGTATTACGACCATTAAGAGCAATAAACAGAGCAAAAGGTTTAAAGGTAATGTACTATTTATTTTTCTGTGTAATATGTTTGCGCAGCAATATGAAAAAATAAGAATAAATGAAACAAAACGAGTTAGAATTTGAATGTCAAAATTGACAGTGGGTTTTTATTAAAATAAATTAAAAATATTATCGTAAATAATAGTACTTACAAAAAAGGTTGCTAGTGGCTGGACGAAATCCAATACGAAATATAAGTGACGTTTAAACCAACGAGAGAAGCGAGAGTGTTGCAGAGTGGCACATAATCTTAGATGTCACTAGTTAGAATTTGACAATGCATGTTTGTGATGGAAATCACAAATATGCATGCAAATAGTGTGTTGTCAAATTCTAACGTACAAACATATTAAATTAATAAAAAATATGTTTAGATTAAACATTTGCCGCCGGCCTTGCAACATCTCACTATGTTGCAAATTAGTTATTCAAAATTTACAATAAAATATATTTATTCGATTACAACTTTTTTTATTCTGTTATTTTTTTTAATTTTTTCAAAAAACAAGTTTTACATTCATTTGTGCAAAAAACCTCTGGACCGGCAAGCTTTCTGGCAAAGACCCAAACAGAAGTTGGGCCCATAGGCTTCGGGTGTAGTCAGTTGGGCCCATAGGCTTCCGGGTGTAGTATAGGTCTGTGTCTTCATGATTTTCTGCACCCAGCACCAAGTCAACTCGCGACGGCCGGAAAAATTGAGGATCCGCTAGCATCATACCTTCAAATTGCGAAGCTGCGTCCGCTGAAGCGGATTCGATGGGAGAAATTAAATGGGTGAAGTTCATCACCGGGGCAGACACCAACAACTGGGAAAATCAATCAGGTCCTACGGGATGGAAGGAAGTCGCAACGACTGGACCAGTGAACTGATCTGGGAAAATCAATCAGGTCCTACGGGATGGAAGGAAGTCGCAACGACTGGACCAGTGAACTGCAAGTTCGGCTGTTACCTGCACATGGGTCCAGAAGTGCTCGGACGGGGAATCGCCGTGAACCCAGGAAAATTTTAACAATTATGGTTGGGCCCAATGTTACAATTGGCTGTATTGCCAGACTACGGACGGGATTCACTTGAGTCGGTGGAACGGACGGACCAGCAGAAGCGGACGGACGTTTACGTCTTTGAACAATTATGGTTGGGCCCAATGTTACAATTGGCTGTATTGCCAGACTGCGGACGGGGTTCACTTGAGTCGGTTGAGCGGACGAACCTGCAGAAGCAGGCGCACGTTTACGTCTTTGGGAACTCGGACGACCTTGCGGAAGGGGAAGAGGGATCGGACAGGTGAAGTAGTGTGTGGTGTCTGCCTCTGCACTCTTCGCATTCTGGGTCCTTCTTACAATTCTGGAGCACGTGACTGCCACCCAAACAATTGGAACAAACACGTAGTTTGACCATGGTCCGGATGCGCTTATTTAGTGGTAGCCTCCTAAAGCCACCACAATTCCTTAGGTGGTGCTTCTGGTGCACCTTCTGGAACCTTCGGAGTCCTCACATGAATTCGCCGAAGCCTTTGGGTCGTTTCCAGAGGAGCGTCCATCTGAACCAACAGGTGCAATCTCCCGTGGAGGAGCTGCTGGCTCAGAAGACATCCCGATCACAGCAGGTTGGACTACCAATTCTTCTTCGAAGCAACCTCATTAGGAGGAGCGGCAGGTGCAGCTTCGGAATCATTTTCATTTACTGGAGTGGGGTCCAAATCTGTGAGCGGAACCATACCAATGTCGTCATCTTCTCTATCCCCGTAAGCCATGGGGACATCATCCTCATAATCAGGCAGAAAAGTGGCTACCATCTCATTTAAATTTTCCATTCTACGAAAAAATATAGAGAGGCTGCGAATTTAAGAATTTGCAAATTTTTTAATTGGTCAGAATGACCAACTTGGCTACTGGTCGTCAGAATAGGAGACCCTATTAGAAAATGACGTGGAGTTAATGCTATCGGCTTTAATGCACAATCATTCATAGGACGCAATGGCCTTGTATTTAAACAAGTTTCAATTCGAGAAAGTATTGTTGATAACTCCTCGAATGTATATTTAAAATGACTAGCGTGTTTACGAAAATGAATCTTAAAACTGCAGTTTCCCAGAGCCCACCCATATGTGGTGCTCCAGCTGGGATGAATTTACATAAAAGCTGCTGGTGGTTATATTGAGAGCAAATCCTATCCGACTTTACAGAAATACAATTTTGAATTCTCGATCTAACTCTCTTGAAGCGCCGACAAAGTTGGTACCTTTGTCGGAAAATAAAGTTTTAGGATACCCGCGCCGTGAAATAAATCTATGAAAGGCGGCCAAAAATGTTGCCGTTGACAAATCTGATGTAGCTTCAAGATGAATTGCTTTCGTAGAAAATCAGACAAACGCACATACATAGCTCTTCGTAATTTTACAATATCGACCTGTGAAAGATTTGATTTCGAAAAGGCCAGCGAAATCTACGCCTGTAGTTTCAAATGGTCTTGTGATGGCTGTTCTCTCCGGAGGCAGAGATGCCATAATTTGGGAGAATGACCTTTTTCTCTAGTAAGCAAGGTTTACATTTCCTAATAATTTTACGAATTAACGAAATGGCTCGAGGTAGCCAATATTGCGTGCGTAACATATACAAGACTAAATGAATTCCACCGTGAATGGAAATATTGTGCAAATTTTCAATTAAAAGAAGTGAAAGTGGTAGGGTAATAAGATTGGATGTCTTTCTGAATATACAAGCGTTGGGGGTCCACTGAGATGCATAACGCCTCTATCGTCAAGAAAAGGATTCAATGGTAAAAGGGAACTTTTAGCATATATCGACCTGGCATTCAATAAACAGTTATACTCTTCTGCATAGTGGACTTTCTGGGCTATCATAACAAGACGTAATCTAGCCATATTTATTTCAGAACTTGTAGGATATTTTTCTTGAAAAGAATGTCGACCTTTATGTGATGGATGCGTTTATAGTGCACTTTTCAATATCTGTATCAAGTACAGATAAATCTTGAATATCCCATTTGGATCTATCCTGGCGAAGCCATTGTGGCCAAATTTGTGACGATGACAACTCCAAGGGTGAAATGCCTCGACTGCCTAAGTCAGCAGGATTGTCTTCAGATCGCACGAGATGCCAATTTCTCTGACCAACATTTTCATGAATCCTGCATACCCTTTTAGCAACGAATGTCGACCATGTGGAGGGGGGTTTCTTTAACCAGGAAAGGACGATTGTAGAATCGGTCGAACAGTAAACTTTTTGAAAAACTATATCTATTTCAGTCGCAATTACTTTTTGTTTTGCTGGAACGCAGAAAAGTGGAGATTTCACCATTTGATTCAATTTTACGGATGTACGGATGTATTAAAAAATATTATTTACATAATCGGACTGTAGAAATGTCTGTATAGGTCAATTTTTTGGTATGTTCCCTATATTTTAATTTCAAGTACCTGTCAGTATATCTATGGTGGAGGGTATCCGAAGTTCGGCCCGGCCGAACTTAACGCTTTTTCACTTCTTTTTATTATTATATAATAAAATAATGAGTGAGAATGAGACTGGTGATTGTGTGATTTTGTGGTGTTGGTTGTCTTCTAAAAAAAGTGGAAGAAGAAGAAACCCTTGTATTAATTGTCGTGAACGATTAAATTATCCGGTTCGATCAGGATCAATTGTTTGCGCAGCAATATGAAAAAATAAAAATAAATGAAACAAATGGAGTTAGAATTTGGATGTCAATATTGACAGTGGGTTTATATTAAAAAAATTAGAAATATTATCGTAAATAATATAACCTACAAAAAAGGTTGCTAGTGGCTGGACGAAATAAAATACGAAAAGTAAGTGACGTTTAAAGCAACGAGAGAAGCGAGAGTGTTGCAGAGTGGCGCTTAATCGTATATATCACTAGTTAGAATTTGGCAATGCATATTTGTGATGGAAATCACAAAGATGCATACAAATAGAACGAGTCAAATTCTAACGTCAAAAAAAAAAAAAAGAAATTAATAAAAAATATGTTTAGATTAAACATAATATGCGTGATGATGCCCTTTTTCTAAGACTGGTAAGACTTCTAATATAATTTTTCTAATTATAATAACGTCATAATGGAGGGAAATTAATAATGCGAAGTAAAGAACCAATGTAGTGCTCATGTAGATGGTCTTGATGGTAACGTACATACAACGTTTTCTTACAACTGTTGTTTAAGTTCGATACATTGCTTACGACAATGTATATGTTCGATACATTGTTTCCCCTTCTACAGCATTACAATTAACAACTTTAATTGGCCGTCTTCGGAGCCCAATGGGAAAATCTTCTCTGCATATCTTCCAGGAGCCTCATTCGCCTAGTTCGGATTGTAGGGGAGAGTTCGCTCTCTTCTACTATATTTCCTGGACGCGCATTCGCTTAGTTCGGATGCAGAGAGGCGCTTTCCAATGCTGTGGTCGTAGTTGTTGATCACGGCCTTGCTGTAGCTTTCTTGCCGATCGCAACATCACTTGCTCACTCGCTTTCGTTGAATAAACATCTCTCGCTATCGTCGTTAACGCACGCTAGGGTAAAGTCTTTTTTCTCCCGAAACCCACCTACTTTACAATAAAGATTGAAAATATTCACTAAACACTATTTCGTTTTTCTTTTCTTTATTTTTTGGGTTTCACTGCTACTCGGTATCACGCCAACATTTTGATCCGTTCGAGCCGGATATTTCCTAGCATTGTTGTTGCATTTTGATCCCATTAAGTCGGATAATCTACCAACAATTTCACACTTGTCGCTATTTTAAAGGAGAAAAACATCATCACCACTCACCATACACAACATCTCATCATCATATTCACCAAAACCATAAACATCAAAAACTGCATCATCATCCACAAACAACAATACATCATAAACTCAAAGGTACGTAGTTCAGTTCCTTAATATTGAGCATACCGCGAGTGTTTTCGTTTTTTACATTTCGCTTTACAAAAATACATTTTCCATTTTTTGC